AAACCAAACCAAACTCACTGCCATCAAGTTGATGCTGACTCATAATCACCTGTAGGGCAGGGTAGAACTGCCCTTGTGAGTTTCTGAGACGGTAACTCTTTACTGGAGTAGAAAGCCCATCTTTCTCATGCAGAGCAGCTGGTGGTTTCGAACTGCTGACCTTGCAGTTAGCAGCACAATGTGTAAAAACCACACCATCAGGGCTTCTGCTAACTCAGGACAAGTGCGCAGAGGGTCATAGAGATTAATTAACTTAACCTTGAGGGCCAGTGGAAGGAGTTTGGATGGCAACAGCCTTTGCTCATCAGCTCCTTAATTTTCTCCCCCTTGAGTTACTAACAGAGCCTGGGTGGTGTAGTGGCCATTTGATGGGCTGAGATCTCTGAGGTCAGCACTTTGAAACCACCCTCAGTCTTGCAGGGTTGGGGGATAAAGATGGGGCTTTCTACTTCCATAAAGAGTTACTGTCTCAGAAACCCATAGGGGCAGTTGTACACTGTCATATAGGGTCGCTATGAGTCGGTATTCATTCAATGGCAACGAATGCATTTGAGTGCATTTTAAACACTCAGAAGGTTGCTAGCCCTCAGCAGACATCTAGTTAGCACCCACCCCATGGGTCTTCCTATCCTGTGTGTTTTAAGAGGCCTTTCAGGCAGAGATGCACTTAGGGCAGAATAGCAGTAAGGCCTTGAGTCCCACAAGAACATGGGCAACTGCCAATGCGTGCTCAAAAAAATGAGGTGGGTCCTCAGTACTTCCCAGCATGGAACCAACCTTTTTGATGTGTTAATGAAGGCTTGGAGCTGGTAATTCTCCAGGTCCCCACCCACCACACACACACACACACACACAATGTTTATTGTATTGCTCAACCGTCTACCCCACAAAACAACTGTTGGCATCAAGTCGACTCATAGCTCCCCTCCATCGGGTTTCTGAGACCGTCAATCATGACAGGAGCCGCTCATCCTTATCGTCCTTCTGCAGAGTGGCTGGTGGTTTGGAACCACGTACCTTGCAGTTAGCAGCCCAACACCTGCCCGACAGTGCCACCAGGCTCCTTAGCCAACTAGGTAGCCTAACATAATTAACAGAGCAGCACCTACTTCTAAACATGGTGCAGAGAAAGCCATTTAGTCGGCCCTTCCCAGATATGCTGATCAAGAGCACCTGCTGCCCAGTAGTCACTCTCCCCGCTCCATGGAAAGTGGAGGGGTGTGGGCCGGGGTGGACGTGAGCTCTGAGCACATCTGCCCTGCTCCCCACTCCTCCCCAGGGCCCATGAGAGGGTTTCCTGGTGAAATAGCTTGAACTGGTCAAGATCCCTCATTCTAGAGGGTGAACCCGAGTGGCCAGGCAGTGTGTGCTTGACTGGGGACCAGTCTTTTCCTAATCAAAATCCTTGTCTGCATTTTACTGTAACGGTGACGGCCAGTGTTGCTTTCATTTCATTCCAGAAGTGGTGCAAAGCTAATAGAATTTGGAAAGTAAAAACAAGCACGATTATTAGAAAAACCCAGCATCCCACATTTCAAAAGGAACGACACTTATAGTTCGTTGTCTATCTTTCCAGAGTCATTTCTAGGCTGTGTTGAGCCTTCTCTTGGTTCAAAATGAAAATGTCTACTTTTTTCCTCGTCATGTGTGACAGTTGTAGAAAATATTTTAAACACCGGGAAAGCAACAAGTCTAGCAGAATCCATTTCCCAGCGGCGGTTATGAATAGTTTGATGACTCAAAGTTTTCAAGATATTTTTTATTATTACTCAATCTTAATAAAAGAAATGAAAACATTTGGTTTTGTAGCACACACATCCTTGATATCTTTATTTGCACTCTGAATAAGAGCAGCATCACTTTAAACAAACAAACCAATACCACTTTTGTCTTCATTGCTGCCTACCTAGAATGCCATTTTATCTGTGACCAGTCTTAGACTGAGGGCTACATCCTGCTACTTCGCTTTTTCTTGCCCTTCTCCCCTCAGGGCTCCTTCCAACACATTCTTCCTGGTGTTCCTTCAGGACTTTACCAGGACCCTCTACTAGCTTACTCTTCCAGTGGTTTCAGTCTGCCTGAGGAAACACTCCACTGTGTTAGTCTGGGTAGACAAGAGAAACAAACTCATAGAGACTCGTATGTGTATAAGAAAGAGGTTTATATACAAGAGCAATTGAATATTGAGAAAACATCCCAGCCCAGTCCAGATCAAGTCCATAAGTCTGATATTAGCCCATATGTCCGATACCAATCTATAAAGTCCTCTTCAGACTCATGAGATACATGGGATGATGCCGAATGCAGGAAGATCACAGGCCAGTGGATGCAGAGTCTTGTGGATCCAGTGGTGGTAGAGGCATCTCAGCACTGGCCGGCATCTCCACATGATTCCTTCAGCTTCCAGGGCATGGGCTCTATCAGGGTAGCACAATGTGTCTTGTCAGTAGAGCATCTCCAAGGGAGTGAGCCAAAAGAGAAAGTCTCTCCCACCTCCAAGGAGGAAAATCAGGATTTCCCAGAATTCTCAGGAGAAGGCCATGCCCACACAGAGGCCTCGTTGGCTATGATCTGATTGACAGACTAGACTCCGCCCCTTCACTCTTAATCCTCTCAAGTACCAAATTGACACCAGATTATGTAACTACTACATCCACTCTCTCCCTGCTCTGCCCTTTTCTTGCCACTGTTCCTCCTGAGAGGGCTTCTAGAGAGGTGTTTCCAAACGTGAGTGATACAGCCTGCTCCCGGAGCTCTCCAGACAGGCTCTAAAAGCAATGTCCTTCATTGCCAAGGGGTTGATTCAGACCCAGAGCAACCCTTTGTACAAGAGAGTGAAACCCCGCCAGTCCTGCACCATCCTCACACTTGTTCGTATGTTGGAGCCCATTGTTGCAGCCACTGTGCCAATCCTTCCTCTTTTCTCTGCCCCTCCACCTACCAAGCATGCTGTCCTCCTCCAGGGACTGGTTTCTCCTGACAACGTGTCCCAAGTACACGAGATGACGTCTCACCATCCTGGTCTCCAAGGAGGTTGTAATTCATCCAAGACAGACTCCTACAGAAACAGATAGCTACACTGTTATCCTAGATTATGGGCTGGAGTACAAGTTTTTCACTGCGGGACGGGGACATTTAGTAAAGGGGGCAGTAGGCCAAATACGTTTGGGAAGCTCTGTTTTAGAAGGTCCCTGGGTGGCACCAATGGAACACACGTGGCTGCTCACCAGAGAGTTAGCAGTTCGAACCCACCCAGGAATACCGCTGAAGAGAAGGGTTGGTCATCGCTTCCATGAGGATTCCAGTCTTACTCTGTAGCACACAGCACCTCCATGAGGTTGGAATCAACTTAGCAGCAGCAGCAACAGCCATGGGTTATAGACTTGCCTGTGGCCAATCCTAACACTCCAGAAACAGAGAACACCTGTGAAGGAAATAGGAGGGAGGTAACCCTTTGAGAATAGTTGCAGGTAATACAGGGGCCGTCATGTCGATTTCCCATGGCAGGGGTGTGATCACAACCCTGCAGCGGGGCATTGAGCTGAGTCTCCACAAACCGTGCATCACCGAAATCCACACACCATCCCCACACCCACACGCTGTAGACTTTCAGTCGAGGATGGAGTTTGCCCTGGACCTTTCAAGAGGCCTTTCCTAACATGACTGCTACCACCCAGGCCAATGTTTGAATCAATCATTTGAAAATTATCATCTGTGGATGCTCTCGATCTTTTGGAGAAGGATTTGATCGATGGGATTTCTTTGGTGGGAAAAAAAAAATTCCCAGGTTTTTTTCCCCTGGAAACTTCCAGAAGGATCGGAAGCAACAATGATCAAAATGGATTCAAAATGAAAGCAGGGTGCTCGAGGTGGCAGGAACAGATTGTGGGAGCAGTATGAGGTTTGGCAGGTGCCCTGAAGGGCCTTAGAATGTCAACTTTCCAACCTGGTCAGTCATGGTGGCCTGGCCAGGATGGGGTCCTGGCATTCCCAAGATGCCTTCACTGAAGGACACCGTATCTGGATAAATAAGCTTTATCCCATCAATTTCTAAATAATACATCCAGTTTTATGACTTCATTGTCATATGAGGTTTTTCATATTACAATTTTTTATTAAATTTAATTAAAATAGTAGGCTTCATAAGCTGTGGGAAATAGTATTAAATGATAATGGAATTGTTTCACAAATGTTTGAAGCCCCCTTGGATTGTGTTCAGAGTACGGGGCGGTCTTTCTCAGAGGAATCCTTGAGATAATTAGAGAGGAATCCTGGTGGCGTCATGCTTATTCACTGAGCTGCCAACCGCAAGGTCGGCAGTTTGAAACCACCAGCCGCCCCTCGGGAAAATGCCAACCTGCCTACTCTCCTGAAGAGTTACAGTCTCGGAAACCCACAGGGGCAGTTCTACCCTGTACTACAGGGTGGTTATGAACAGTAATATGAGGAGGCTTCAAAAGACCTATGGGAAAAATTTATATTAAAAGATGGAATTATTTCACAAACATTTTGAAGACGCCTTGTCATTCTGTTCAGAGTTTCGGACAATTTGAATTAGAACGGACTCATTGGCAGTACATTTGAGTTTTGTGTTGTTTGGAAGGGTTGGAAGCAGGACTATTGCCCAAGCTTTGGTTCAATCATCAGGAATAAACTGGACAATCAGTGTAGCTAAGCTGACCGCCTTGGGTAGGCAAGGGTGAATGCTGGGAGCTGCCAAAGGTCTTCTCAGCTGGACATTACCCCTTCAGTGACTTGGTCAGGACAGGTCCACGTGGTGAACGCCTTCTTCATGCCACATGAAGCGACTAGACACCAAAGGCATGAAGTGAGTGGACTAAAGCCTATCCTAAACCACCGGGGCCCTCAGGACGCCTGAGATGCCTTCCCGTGTGAAGAAGGACAGTGGACAAAGTACCGAGAGTGATCTGTAGACAGCAACAGTCGTGGAACAGCTGTGTGCTCGGGAAGCTCAGGGTAACGCTGATTTCTCTCTCTAGGCAGGAAGAGGAGAAGAAGAATTCTGCTTTGAGAATGTGGCCGGTGAAACCAGCTGACATTGGGGATGTCAGCGAGCTGAAGCAGGACAGGAGGAGGAAGAAACCTGCCAAGGAGCTGGAAGCCCAGGAGAAGATCTCCTCAGCTTTGGACAACTCTTCCTGTAACTCCCAAGAGTTCAAGCCCAAGGGACGCCCCAAGCCCAAGGTGGGAAGGGAGCGACATCACTTATCTCCGAAACTCTCCGACATCTCTAGAGAACAGTACCTGTAAGACCAGACCCCAGTTTCCAGGCCAGTTTGGGTCCCAGTCCAGCAAGGACTCCCACGCTGTTAAGTAATGCTGGCATCCACTTCCCCAGAGAAGGTCCTTGGCCCTGTCCTTGGAGCCAGCCAGTCTGGCCATCCTTTCCACCTCTTCACTTTGAGCAGCAAAGAGCTGCAAAGAGCTGACGACCGTCACAGAGCGTCCTTAAAGCAGTGTCATGACAACGGTGTTCTTCCAGGGCTGCTGTTGTACACCTCATCCACCCAACGCTGTGGAAGTAGCCACTCAGCTGAGGGAAGGCAGCCCTTCCTTCCTTCCACCTGCACCTTCCCTGTCTATGACAAAGCTAAGCCTTTCTGGATTGTTTTCTGTCATCTTTAACCCATCTCGCCTACCTGTTAGAGCTTATTGGTTCTGGTCTTGCCTGACCATTCTTGATCCTATTTTATTTCCTGGTGCTCAGAAAATGACATCCATTCTTCTGACAGATTTCCCTCATGCAGAACTTTTAACCTGCCATCGGGTTTCCAAATGTTTGGGAAGATGGTGTCGTGACTGAGTCACCCACGCCGTGCTGCCCACAGTCTGGTTTGAGGTCGGTCATCCCACATGAACCAGGAATTGTGTCACCCAATGCTAAGCATGAAATTAAGACATAGTCCCTGTTTTCTTGTTTTCTGAGCGTTTTTATAACACCCTCCCTAAGTCCTTGTATCTACAGTCTGTTGTGGGAACCTGCAACAGAGCGGAGCACCAGAATAAAACACGTCTGTTGGAAATGGTTCAGATCAACTGGGTTGTTTATTTCTTTTTTTTCCTCATAATTATTACAGATCATTTTATTGGGGGCTCTGACAACTCTTAAGACGGTCCATACATCAATTGGATCAGGCATGTTTGTACATAGGTTGCCAGCCCTCTTTCCTAGACACTTACTTGCTATTGAACCCTTGGGATCAGCTCCTCTCTTTTTCTGTTCCCCCCCCGCTCATGGCCCTTGATAGATTATAAATTATTATTTTCATATCGCACACTCTCCCTTACCCCATGGTTTCTGTTGTTCTTCCCCCGGGAGGAGGGGGTGTGGTTATGTGTCGATCATTGTGATCAGTTTCCCCTTCCTCCCCTCCTCTTCTCCCCCTTCCCTCTACCCTTCTGGTATAGCTATTCCTATTCCTGTTCCTGGAATCCATGTCTGGTGAGCTTTTATCTCATCGATACCTGTGTGCGTCTAGTCCAAGATGAGAAGCAACACTGGAGTCAGGA